GGCCCCCGTGCTTCCTGCAGCCCTTCCCTTCACCACCACCCCCACTTCGGCTGCTCCAGAGAGTCTGCTCCTGTGGGATTTGTACCAGGGAGAGAAGGGCAGATGGAGGAGCTTAGACAGACACATTCCTTCCATCCTCTCCTTATGGTGTCTAGCTATTTCTCACTCTGCTCCTTTGAGTTTCAAAGTCAGAGTGAAATACAATTTCTTTTCTATTTGGTTATCATTAGTTCATTCAGCATAAGGTTTCAAATGCATGGAAGATGAGGCTACTCATGAGACACAGAGGCAGGACTCCTGGCATAGATTCGCTGTCTCTTCACAGAAAATTGCCATCCAACCCTTCCCTGAGTAGCAAGGTCTCACAGTCTTGCTTGGATGGAGGGCCATGGTAATAAGGCAGATCCATGGAGAGCCCCCTCATATCCCAGGTGGATTCGATGGCAGGAAAAGCAGCCCAAATATTTTCATTGTACATTCGGAGTGGAAGATATTCTAAGGATGAATGGATCTGCAAAGAAATCTTAAAACTCATTCAATGTTTATTGTTGCTATTAATAATTCTGATATTATTTTAAAACTATGTCTATTTTTTTCAGGATAAAACAAACACATTTTTACATTAGTGCTGTTAGAAATCAAGACTTTCTCTTGAAAGAGAAAGAAATATATGTAAAATCAAAGAATTTAAATAAAAATTGAAAGATTGTATGGAAATTTTTATTCTATATTTTCTTTTAAAAGTATGAATTTTCTAATTTTGTCCACTGAAATGGTCTGTAACCAATGAAAACTCAGCATCAATGAGTATGCATAGAGGCAAAATTGTAGTGTCTGAGTACTATTCCCTCGTAAAAGGAATCAGGGATCTTTTGAGGAATGGCTGATTTTATATCTTAGGAAGGTTAAGAAGAAGATGAGCCTGGAACACCTTCTTGTGCAAGAAATCAAAGAAATTATAAAAGACTAATGCAGCCATGTCAAAGGAACACAGGAGCCAACATGAAGGGTCTCACATTGGCCAAAGATGAGAAAATTTAAGCATAAAAGTAATAATAGCAGTTAATTGAAACACATTGAATATATAAAAATTCATAAGTTTATAATGATACTTAAAAGGAAAAGAGCAAGACAGATCGAGTGAAATAGAGAAAGAGAAACCTCTCTCAAAAAAAGGAGGAGGTGAGGGGACTGACGTCTCTAGATTAGAAGATATTTATGACATTCAACAACAAATTGAGGCATAAAGATCTTGTTTAGATCCTGATTAAAACAAAACCAACTACAAAAAGTTTCCTGCCATTAGGAGAACTTTGAATATAGACCAGCCATTATATAGTACCAATGAATCATTTTTCACTTTTTTAGTTGTGACATTGAGATTATGTAAGAAAATGTATATATATATATATATATATATATATATATATATATTAAAACATATTGAAATATGTCAGGATAATAGCATGATATCTAGAATTTTCCTTAAATACTTGAACAAGAAAAAAGAAAAATATGGATGAAATAAGAGTAGCAAAAATAGTCATAATTACTGAATCTGGGTGGAAGGATCTTGGGAGTTCATGTACCACTAGCTCAACTTCAGAGTTTGGATGAAAATTTCTGAAAAGAGTCTTAAGTTAGACTGATTCTCTTGTATTGTCAACCATTGAGAATGGCTGCCCACTTTATAGTAACATCCCTAATTTCTTATGTTTGGGGAAGTAGGAACGAGGCAGGCAAATTTGAACTACATTGCCTTACTTCCATCACTAGAGTCCCACCCCCAGGAATTTGGATTTGGGAGAAAAAGAGGAAGTGAAGAAAGAGAGAAATAGAGAATGATGATGAGTCTCTAGATGTGGCTAGGCCTGTAACAGCTGTGTACTGGTGACCATATTCTACTGGCAGGGAGGGGAGAGAGAGTTGATCCAGAAAAAGAATAAACCATACACCTAGAGGGCAGACTCAAGAGACAGAGTCCTACTTGGTTTCCCCTTAGGTTTCATTTCCTACATCCAGTGCTTTCTGAGTCCTGGCTACATTCTTACCCTTGGGCTCTTTATTCTTATAGTAATCCCTTCCCCTTATCACAAGCTAATTGGCATTGGTTTTTGTTACATGATACCACTGATATATCATGAATACAGCCTATGTAACACAGTCTGCTGTCAAGTCCTGAGAAGTATTCGGCTAAATGTGAATCACAGAGTCAAATTGGTTAGAAGTCATGTAGATATAGGACAGTGTGGGGTCAAAGCCAGAAGACGCAAGTTCATCAGTGCCAATAGTGCTGGGGGATTTGTGTTACTGAGGACTTGTGCTGTAGTTGTTTTAAAAGTGCATTATTGGGGCAGACCAAGTAGAAACTTCCACTTAATTCCCAACACTTATATGGAGGTAGCAGCACTTGGTGATTTTATTCTTTTCATTTAACTTTGTAAACTATTCAGGGTATGGGGTAAGAGGAGCATTTAACTTTTAAAAAATAGCAAACCAATCATTTCAAAACCATTTGTTAAAGCATATTAGGTTCTTTAAAGTGGAATCTTCATATATCTGAACTCTTTATGCCTTCAAGGACAGAATTGGAGGCAGGCGTCAAGACCAATCAAAAGAACACAAGGGAAGTGGTTAGCAAAAATAATGAGTTTGGGAACTAAGAGAGATTCATCTTACTGTTTGTGCTGCAGAACAGGACTTTTGCTCTCATCTGCCTTCCTCTTTTTTCCTTGGGATCTTCAGGGCTAATCCGATCAGTCTTGCCAGCATGCGACCTCCTGCTCAGCTTCTCTTTCTCCTCCTGCTTCTCCAGTATCCAGGTGAGTGGGTCAGAGGCTCCTTTCCTGTAGCCTAACCTTCTTTGGGGCAGAGGGTCCACATGGGCAGTGCCCAGCAAGGTCATTCACAGAACTTAGGACACTGTGTTGGAGAGATTGAGGGACGAGGCAGACAGAAGAGGTTGAGTGACTCCAGGACATGAGAGAGAAAGACTGATTAGAGAGTAAAGAAGACAAAGAAGGAGGAGGAGAAGAGAAGAGTCTAGGGTACATAGTATCATGACATTGTGGATGTCAGAGTTGGAAGGAGTCTGAAAGTCTTTACTTTTTTTTTTTTGCTGGGAAATATTCGCCCTGAGCCAACATCTGTTGCCAATCTTCCTCTCTCTTTATTTTTTCTCCCCCAAACCCCAGTACCTAGTTGTATATTCTAGTTGTAAGTCCTTCTAGTTCTTCTGTGTGAGCTGTCACCACAGTACAGCGACTGACAGACGGGTGGTGTGGTTCCTCAACTGGGAACCGAACCTGGGCCGCCAAAGCGGAGCACGCCAAAATTTAACCACTAGGCCATCAGGGCTCGCTCTGAAAGGCTTTACATTTAACTCCATTGTTTTATAAAGGAAAAGAAGAGGCCTGGATAAATCAACAGGTTTCCCAAAACTGCACATATAAATAGAGACAGGATCAGTACTGTCATCTAGGCATCCTTATTCCACACATATTTAGAGACACCAGAACTGCAATAAAATTGAAACCCCAGCTCCAGAACGGGGAAGCATTTCATAAAACAGGAAGTCATGATTAGTGCTAAGGAAAAAGAGAGGTGGGCAGGGCAAGGCTGTGCTCTGACTCCCCCTGTGGTCTCCCGTCTGATCTTCCAGGGCCAATAGCCCTCAGTAGGAACCCAGCCCCTGGGATGGGTGCAGTGACCCCAGCAGGAAGGAGAGTTTAAGCATTGCCCACTTCCAGCTGTAGCCACAGCACCACTGCTAAGAGTTGTTTATGTCCAACATTCGTGTGCGCCCCAACCTGCGAGAGTTATGACTGACCGGGAGACTTGGGGCTGAGGGAGGGTGTCAGTGCCAGTTTTTACAGCCGCTTCCTTCTATGTTTATAGAGAACACAGTTTCACAAATGAGCTCAACCCCATTGATGGTGGATGGGGTACTGGGGGAGTCAGTAACTCTTCCCCTGGAGTGTCCTGCAGGAGAGGAGATCGACTCCATCACCTGGCTTCACAGTGGATCATCTATCACCGTCATACGGCCAAATAAACCATCAGTCCTGGTGACTGCTCCAAAATGGAAAGATCGACTGCATGTCATCCAGTCCTACTCCTTGCAGCTGAGCAACCTGATGATGGCAGACGCAGGATCATACAGCGTCCGTATAGGCACAAATACCTCTTCAGTGTTTTCCAATTACACTCTGAGGATCTTCAGTGAGTAAGGGCATAGAGGCCCAGTTCCCTACTGGTAAGGGTGAATAGGGCCACCCACTAATTCTGGGGCTGGGGGCTGGATGACCCTTGGTAGATGTTGTCCTGTAGTTTCACTCTTTTCACCAGTCCTAACCCTTTCCTACCTAGATCTTTTTCTTTGCTTTTCTTATTCTTTTTTGTCCTCTTCAGTTACCAGCAGATTCTGGCTGATGCTATGGTTGTGTCTGATTGAAAACCAACACACATCTTGCTCCTTTCTCCATTCAGAACCTAAGAGGCTGGGAACGGAAGAATTAGGGATCCTTTCTCCGAAGGGGTCTGGATTCCTTGCTACGTTCTCTGCCCTTTATTCTCTCAATCCTTTCCTCCTGGGATGGTCTAAGAAGGCTCGTTATTGCTGTTTGTATCTGTTAAACTATTAAAACGATTGCTTCAAGCAGAGCGGCTGCCAAGGCCTCACATTAGCCTGGAGTCCATCACCTCTGAGAATGGGACCTGTCATGCCACCTTGAGGTGTTCTGTGGAGGAAGGAGGAGACAACGTCATATATCAGTGGACACGAGTGGGACCAGGGGCTGTTGTGTCCCAGGAAGGATCCATCCTCAAGGAGTCCTGGAGCCTTGATGATCTGGATCTTCGGAACTACACCTGCACAGCTATGAACCCTGCTAGCAATAGCATCTCTAGCCACATCCTTGCTCGGGAGCTTTGTGCGGGTAATTGGCCCCTTCTGGCCTCTCCAAGACTCCTGGGAAATGCTTTGACAAGATTTAGAAGGAGCTGGAGAGTAGACTCCAGCTCTCGGCACTTGCCAACATCCCCGTTCACTCACACATACATGCTCTGCCCTCTCTCTACTTTCTCTCTTTCAGGTTCCAAGGCAGCTGCAGGCACTTATTGCCCAGTGACATGGATTCTGCTGGGGAAGGGGCTTCTTCTCCTCATGGTCCTGGGGGTTCTATGAACTTGGCACATCCAGACACAGATGCTCAGCAAACTCCTTATGTCTAACTCAGGGCCGTGAAGGCCACTAGTGCCCCAGGAGAGCCTGGATGAGGCCATCGCTTCTCTGGTGCTCAATTAAATTGCAGTACAGACCTGCACTCTTTTCAAGATGTAGTACTATGGATTGTCAAAGACCAATGGGATAAAATTTCATATCTTCCGTGTGTGAGTCCATGTGTGTGTACACTGCACGAGAATGAGGACGTTTGGACAAAAAGAGATAAAATATTTGTATCATTACCATGTTATCTATTCTAAGAAGAAAACTCCCCCATAATTTAAGGTTTCTGGAATCAAGATGAATCATAAGGGAGGCGGAGTCAAGATGGCGGCGTAAGCAGACTCGGAACTCACCTCCTCCCGTGGACACAGCCAATTTACAACTACTCGTGGAAAAATTACCCCTGAGACAGAACTGAAAACTGGATAAGAGGAACTCCTGCAACAACGGACAATCCTAACTGAGGTAGAAGAGGCAGAGACTCCCTTCTGGAGAGGAAAAACGCCGCCTTCACAAGCCGCCAGCTTCACGGCCACCGGGAGCAGCCCACAGGTAGGCAGCCCTCCCAGCAGGCGCGGGGCCCTGAGCCGGGGAGCGCCCCCGCAGGGGGCATTTTGTGGACCCAGCACAATCGAGACCAGCGGCATAATATCTGACTTTGCCTGCTACTAAAGCATTGGGGAGCACCCCCAGAAAACCTGGTTCACAAAGAAACTAAAACTGGCTCTTAAAGGGCCCGTGCGCAAACTCACCCGTTCCAGAAAGCATCCTAAAATCACCAGAAAGAAACGTGTACAGTGCTTTGGTGACAAGAGACTCACCTAATAGGCCCTGAGTGCATCTCGGTGAGGGGTGAGACCTCTCCAGGGACTGGGACATTGGCAGCGGCCATTGTTGTGGCCTGGTGTGGGCGTGCTGACACAGACGCCATTGGAGTTCTCCCTGAGGTCTGCTAGCCCAGGGTCTGCTCCACCCGCTAGAGCACCGATTTAATCCAGCTCAGCCAGGGCAGGCAGCCCACCCTAGAGACTGGCCCCACCCAACAACAAGCCCTCAGGCAACGTGTGGGCCTGCATAGATTGGTGACTGGATTCTCTGCAGCCTGGCAACTGAGCCGACTTGAGCAGGGCAGGGTGTGCACAAGGAGCAGGTGGAGAGTGTGCGGCGGTGGCGGAGTGTGTGGGGCTCCCGCCGTGGAGATGTGTGTGGTGATGTGTTGCAATTAGCATTTTGGTGGTGAACATGATGTAATCTATGCAGAAATAGAAGTACAATGATGCACACCTGAAATTTTTACAATGTCATAAACCAATGTTACTGCAATAAAAAAAAAATTAAAAAAAAAAAGATGAGTCATAATATTAATGTGTATAGCTAAAAGGGATAGTGTATTTTTCTCCTGAAATACTGTTATTAAAATAATACTGCTTTCAAAAATCGATGACGTCATGGAATTCTTGAAATACCATAGCTGTAATATAAGGCAGAGTTTCATATAGCTGTCTGAATAGGGGCACATCCACATTCGTGGACTGAAATTTGCAAAGTATGGAGCATTTTAAGTGCGCTTTGACGGATGCTGATGATTAGAGGTGGGAGAACAGGAGTAGTCAGGGCCATTCTAGTCCCTTGGAGTAAAATCATAATCATCAATAAGCTCTTACTATGGGCTAAGTGCTATAATATGTTGCCTTTCTAAATTATGACCACAACTCTATAAAACAAACTCTCTTCTACCCGTGTGACCAATGAAGAAGCTAAACCTAAGAGGGTCTAAGTAACTTGCCCCAAGTCACATCACTGTAAGTGATGAAGTCAGATAAGTTAAGTGACTGACAAAGTTGGATTAGTAAGATAGGTTAGAATACAGTAGCAAATAGACTCCCAAAGTTTCAGTGACATACACAATAGAATTAATTATGTCTTGCTCACATGAGTCCTGGATGGAAGTTCATGACAGCAGGTCAACTCGTTTCCATACGGTCTTTCAGGGACTTCTGCTGACATCGGCCCTTGGCTCAGCACACGACTCCCTATGTCACCCGGAGCATCAATATAGCAGTCGGGGGAAAATGAACATTAAGACCACACATGGGAGATTTCTAGGGCTAAGTCTAGAAGTGGCACACATTATTTTGGACCAAATTTCATCCAAGATAGCTTAGTTATATAGCCAAACCTAAGTGAAAGGGAATTTGATAAGTAGTCTAGCTGTGCTCCCAGAGGAAATAAATTTTGGTGACTACAAATGCATTAAGGCAGATGTTTCTCTCCAGAGGCTTAATGGCAACATTGGAGGGTGACAAATTAAACAGTATGTGCAACAGAGTACGATAAGTAGTGTGTTGGAGAAACTGCAGAGCAGTACAAGGTTGCATGATGAGGGCCCTAACCTACTGTAGGGAATTAGGGAAGGTCTTTCAGGGAAACTATCTTTTTTTAATGTCCTTAACAATCTTTTTTATTGTGGTAAAAGACATATATAACATAGAATTTACCATCTTAACCTGTCTTAAGTGTACAGTGGCGCTAAGTGCATTCACATTGTTGTATTACCATCACCTCCATCCATCCACAGAACTCTTTTTACTTTGCAAAACAGAAAGTATGTACCCATTAAACAATAACTCCATTCTCTCCTCCCCCCAGCGCTTGGCAGTTGCCATTCTACTTTCTGTCTCTATAAGTTGGACTACTCTACGTGCCTCATGTAAGTGGAATTATACAGTATTTGTTCTTTTGTGACTGGCTTATTTCATTTAGCATAAAGTCCTCAAGGTTCATCCAAGTTGTAGAATTTCCTTCTTTTTAAGGCTGAATAACGTTCCATTGTGTGTGTGTATTTATGTGCGTGTGTGTACGTATGTATGTATGTATGTATCTATCTATCACATGTTGTTTATCCATTCATCCATCAATGGACATTTGGGTTGGGTTACTTCCACCTTTTTGGCTATTGCAAATAATTCTGCTATGAACATGGGGGTGCAAACCCATGGGGGTATTCTTTTGTTTGAGATAAATGAATAAGACTTCCCCAAGGTAAGCATTGGGAAGCATGGAGGGGAGACGATTCTAGGCTGAGATCATTCTGTGGGCAAGGGACTGCAAGCCTGGACAAATAGAAATGTTGCTGCTGTCAATAAACATGAAATCCAGGAGGTTTCATTTGTTGAAACCCAAGCATTCCCACAGACATTGCATTTGGCTGTGCAGGTTGTGCCCTGCACAGTTCCAGGGAGTGCCACTCAATGTAGTGCACAACCGGCACATCCATACAATATTTTTAAACATTGACCATCCTCTCTTCTGTAAAGCCTCCCTGATGGTCCCTTCAAAAGTGGTCGCTTCTGAAATCCTGCCATTTGCAACAAGGTTGTTGGACCTGAAGGACACTATGCTAAGTGAAATAAGGCAGACACAGAAAGATACGTACTGCATGATCTCACTTATATGTGGAATCTAACATAGTCAAACGCATAGAAGCAGAGAGTAGAATGGTGGTTGCTAGGGGCTGGGGGGAGGGGTAATGAGGAGGTACTGGTCAAAGGGTATGAAGTTTCAGTTATGCAAAGTAAGTCAATTCTAGAGATCTGTATAACATAGGGCGTATGATGAACAATATTGTATTGTATACTTAAAAAGTTGCTAAGAGGGTAGAGCTCACATGCTCTTATCACAAAGGGAGGTGGGAGGAAAATTCTGGAGGTGATGGATAAGTTGATGGCATTGATGTGAAGTCTCTACAGTTTTTTGTATGTTCTTCATAACTCATTAAAGTAGTAAAAAGAGAAAAAGAAAACAGGTAACAACTTCCTCAAAATATCCTAAGTAGGGTGCACCTCACAGAAACACACATCGATTAATACTATCATTGCTGTTATTGTTTTAAAGGACAACTTGTGAAGAAATTATAAAGCACCTAAGCACATTACTTTGTATTTATTCTAGCAGTTGGTTAGTCATTCTATCATAAGCTTTATTAAAACAAATAAAAAACTCACTTCAGTTTGATACTCAAAAAAAAAGCGTTCACTTCTATTCCATGCCACTCTGTACCTATTCCATACCACAACCATTGCATTTTTCTTACTGTTTTCAAATTAATCTCCTTTTGGTCTCTTTCCCTTCCTAAACTTTGAATGCCTTAAGGCCAAATGTATCTCCATATCCCGCAATGCCCAGCTAGCATGGTCTGCACACATAGTAGGTGCTTAGTGAAGCTTGTCATCAGCAACCCCTCTATCTCCTCTCCTTTCCTGGGCTCTCTTGGTGCACCTGCCTCAGGCGGCTCCTTAACCTCCCAGCCCACCACTGTGCTACTCCTCTCCACCCCCCATCCTCGAATTCATGTCCCATAGCTCCCCTGATGAATTAAAGTACTTCAATGTGCATTAACAGCGGGGGATAGGGAACTCTCTCCCAAGTAAAATATGGCATCTCCCAAGTATAACACACTTTTTTCCTGGGTCCTCAGGGACAATTCGGCTGCCTTGTTGGCTAACCCAGGAGTAACTCCAGGTTGCAGGGAAGCCACCTCCGGCTATTGAAATTCAGATGGAATTTCGACATGGGTGTTCAAAAGGGAACAATCGTTTATTTTGAGATAAATATTTTGCCCCTAATTCCATGACCTGGAGAAGCATCCCTAAGATTTCTACAAATTCCCAAGAACTAGCTTTCTCCCGGAAAGCAGAGGAATTAAGAGCTTCTGCAGAAGCTGGCACGTGTGTATCATATGTGTAAAGCACTGCTTTTGTGGCTGCAGCAGGTATGAAGATAAAAGGGCACAGTTGACTGAGCTGTCTCGTGAATGGGATGGGGGCATGGCTGGGATGCAGAGGGTACAGATACAAAATACTACATCTAGTGGGAGATCAGAAAATGCGTCACAAGGGAGGTGACATTGAGATCCTGATCTTGAAAGATGGAAATACTTTGCTTTTTTTCTTTTGGTGAGGAAGATTGGCCCTGAGCTAATCTCTGTGTCCATCTCCCTCCAT